CTGGCCAACGCACCCATTTTAATCACTGTCTAGTGTGTCCTGATGTGTAGTGGAGGCAAAATAAAACATTGGTGAGCAGAGGACCAAGAGGGGATCCCATTGCGACCCCATCTGTTTGCTCATAGAGATTTCCATTGTACTGAAATAGTTGATTCTTAGTGGCTACGTTGAGTAGTTCAATTAGCTGGTCTCTTGATAGGTTCAGTTCATGGGTCTTGCTGAACCAGTCATCACTGAAAGCTTTGTCAGCTAAAATCTGGATAGTTTCATCCAGTGGTACATTGGTGAATAAAGAGGTGACATCGTAGGATACTAGGATATCATCTCTGTTGATCTCAAGGCTTTGTACTTCGTTGACAAACTCAAAGGTGTCTGTAACCGTGTATTGATTGCATGAGAGTGGTTTCAATTTTTCATCCAGCCATTTAGCCAACGCATAGTTATATGTATTTGTAGCGGAGAGAATTGGACGCATAGCAAGTTGTGCCTTATGCTTCTTTGGTAGGCCATATAAGTGTGCAAGTCTAGAACCTTTGGTACGGATGGAGTCGGCAATCGGCTTGGGTAGTACTTTAGATATGACAGCACAAATTTGCTTTTCCCGTTGTAAAAGCGGATGATGATGATATTATCATCCGCTTTTACAATTTCAAAAGGTATTCACTTGAAAAATGTGTGATCCTTTGTTATTATGTTAATTTGTAGAGACTATAGAAATCAAATCCTCGATATCGCATTATTTGTTCACTTTGAAAGACCCAGGGGAGACGCCATACCTGAAGCTGCGAGAGTTTCGCCGGAGGGTGTTGGACTGAAGGCGCTATTTGTATGAACAGCGTGCAGAGTGCTGTGTGCAGACTGGGATACAGTGTCCTTGATGGCAAAATGCTGTGCTGGACTAAGGGCATCTCTTTGATCGGTAGACTGATTGGTATGGAAGAGATCTTCCTCTGCATCTGACTGTAGCATGTCTTCAATAGAAGACAGCGAGGCACAGTTGGAGAGGGCGTTGTACTCTGGAATGCTGAGACGCCGGCCTTGTGTGGCATTGATTCCACCAGCTGCAGTGGACAGCTGTTGCGTAGATGTTTTGTTTGCCGTAGGACAAGTGCATTAAGGCAGACCAGGTCTTCGTTTGGATTGACTGGCCTTCCCGTTGATGCTTGCTTGAGCTAGGCAAGGAGTTGCACTTTGGAGCCCGTTATGGGCAAATTCAGCGATTGAAGATGGAGTTTTAGGACCTCACTGGATAGCTTCGATAGGTCTTCACTTCTGGTAGCGACCCAAGCATTGTTTGATGAGCAGCGAGGGTGAACCATGGAAGGTTTAAAAATTAAATGATAAATTTACAATAGGTAATGGCTACGTTGCTTAGACAAACTCAAAATGGACTCTGAACAGTTTTCTGAGCTTTTATGTGGAGAGGTTCATCTGCTGGTAAGCCAGTAGAAAAGGCTGTGCTACTGAACAGCTTACCCCAGCACGTGTAACATCTTAAATGTGAATAGTGCTTTAATGCTTTGCACCAATGCTATGGTTCGTTATTACATTCTGAACGTAACAAGGCTACAATGTTTTAGGTTTAGCTACAATAAAGCTTACAGTTTGCTGACCTTTGGAATACAACTGCTCAATAGCTCTATAGAAAGTGATGCTGCCATGAACGGCTCATTGAGAATCCATTAACTATATTTTACTGGTGTGACAGTAAAATCTCATTTATACAGCAAGAAAACAAACATTTCATCAAATTGACACAATTCGAATCGTGAGATAAGATCGCAAGATACTGCAAGAAGTGAAAGATCATATTAATACAAATTGCTCTCAAACATTATTAAAAAGTCAACAAACTACAACAGAGAATATTGTTTTCCCGTGCTCGTGAAAAAAGTCTATAATGGCAGTTATTCAAATAGAAAGCATTTAACATTTCTTCAAATTATTCACACAATTCGAATCGCAAGATAAGATTGTGAGATACTGTGTGAAGCTCTCACGTATTATTAAAAACTGCAAATTAACTACAACTGAGAACATTGTTTTCCCGTGCCCGTAAAAAAAGTCTATAATGGCAGTCATTCAAAGAGAAAACATTAAAAATTTCATCAAATTATTGACACAATTCGAATCCCGAGATAAGATCGCAAGATACTGCGAGAAGTGAAAGATCATACTCATACAAATTTCTCTCACTTATTATTAAAAACTCTACAAACTACAACTGAGAACATTGTTTTCCCATGCCCGTTAAAAAAGTCTATGAATGCCAGTCAAATCCTACAATGTCAGTCAAAACAATTGCTTAAAGAACAGCAAACATTTCTTTTAGCCATGGACATTTTGCTGCATCATCCGATGTCGCTTTTCTCACTGAATGTAGTGAATTGGCAGTAGCTGTTGGCAATAAATCCAGAATAGCTAACGCCATTCTCCCCAAGGAAAAAAACATTGGACGCCACACTCTGTTGTCGTGTTCCCTGCACGATTTCAGTGGTGATGTGCGAATAAAGTTTGCAATATCTCTCTTGTGTGGAGGAAGACAAAGACATTAGTGGCTTCGGCTTAAAGATGAATCGCACCTTCCTGAAATTAATAATCAAGGGATTCCACTTTTCTTGTGAAAGACCTCCCATTTCATTTGTGCAGGTGACCACGATTTTTTCAGCTTAAACTCCTTGACAGCCACCAAGATCTCTCAGTAGTGTGCTAAATAGCACATACCAAAGGTTCCTTGTTCCAATGATTTTTCAGATCTGATGATTTCTGAAGGATCAATTTCCATAATAGATTCTTCGTGGTGTGTACACAGGTATGTAACTGCATGCTTTTTTGATGCTTGGTCTGGTCTTTGGGTTGGTTCGGGGCTTTTTTCTTGAACCATGCTCAGTCTTGCTTCTTGCTGCTTGGCAGCGTCAAGGCTTTTACCGGACTAGCTAGCTGAAGTGAGTTTTCAACACCCTTCTTGTTCTTCTTCCTTTGTCTATTCCTATCCCTTGCCCTATCGCTAGCGCTGTAATTGGCAGATCGCCAACATGACATTTTTTCCAGGAAGGGGTGGTAGGACAATTAAAAATATGACTAAGAGCTTTTCATTAATGATTTTCTTTGACTAACTAACAAGATTTTTTTTGATTTGTCGTGTTGTGCACAAATTTTTTGCTTGCACAAAATCGTTTGAGTGATGTTTAGACCCTTTTGGCATTTGCCCATTCCACTCCTCTCCTCGTTGAACAATAACACAATTGACCATTGACATGACCCATTGAAATTAGTGCATATTCTACTGGGGTTATATTCTGTCCTCAGATAACAACAGCTCAAATTGAACTGACTACCCAAAAAAGACAGAACTGAGTGTGAAATTAGTGCATATTCTATTGGGGTTGTATTCTGTCCTCAGATAACAACAGTTCAAATTGAACTGATCACCGAAGAAAGACAGAACCGAGTTTGAAATTAGTACATATTCTATCAGGTATATATTCTGTCCTCAGATAACAACAGCACAAATTGAACTGACTACCCAAGAATGACAGAACTGAGTTTGAAATTAGTGCATATTCTATTGGGTAATTATATTCTGCCCTCAGTTTTCTTTCAGTTATGCAGGTTATAACAAGTAGTACTTGTTACCCCGGCATTACAAAAAGGCAAACAGTTAATTACAAAAAAATATGATATGAAATAAATTAAACACTCCAATTTAAAATCTGTAACATAAGATCTTTTCGGTATAAGTCCATGTCACAATAGTGCCACTGAAAATTTCTGATGTACAAGGAGCCCTTTTCAAGGAAAGCTTTGGCAGCCATAATTACACCAATGCCACAACCTCCGGTGCCAATCATTCTGGAGTCAACAGGTGCTTGTGATGGCATTCCAAAACGGCTTAAGTAATTACAACGCTGCCAGAACTGTGTTTGGAGGTTTGGGTGAGATGGATGCATTTCAGCAAGCATATGTAGCAACTCTTTGATAGCAGGACGTACTGTAGGTGGGACAACAGATGTTGGTCTATCATCAAAATAAATGTTCATATTTGCCAGGTCAAGAACTACTAGACCCCAGTGGTTTGGCATGTGGACTGTTACCAAGATTTGTTTAAGACTCAAAATTTGTTAAAATGGATGTTTCCATTGTCACTTTAGGTTGTTTAAATGTTGCATTGCCAGACTTTGTCCATTCATAGACTTTTGTAGGAAAGTAAATGGTTTCATTATTCCCATTTGCTCTGGCCTCTTCAATGTACTTTCCAATGGAAATGTCTATAATAAAACTGTTGATGTGCCTCTCAGCAAGATCTGAAAAAGAAATTACATTGATGCTTTTCTTTCCAAACCTCAGAATTGAACTGTTTCCTAGATGATGCAAAAGAGCTTCTTGAAGTCCTGAGGAGCATTTTATTTGCCCCAACCAATTTGCTTCAGAAGACACTTTATGCTTGGTATCTGCTATTGTGCACAACTGCTTCAGAATGGTTAGGCCCTCTTCAGGGAATTGTCCTATTCCTGTGATTTTGACACCAGATGGATTTCTTCCATCTTTTTTTTTTCACTGTCAAAAGGTTTTGGAGCTTTCTTAACAAGACTTTCAGAAGGATGCTCATTTAAATCACATGGATCATGTAAGTCTGAAGGAGAGCCAAAAATGGAGATAGAGCTGTTGTAGAAGAACATGTAGTTGATACTGGTGGTAGCAAACTGAACAGTGGAACAACTTCAGCTCTTGTTATTGCCTTGGCCATGGCATTGTGCAAGATGGCGTTTGAATCCTCTTTCTTCTCAGTAACATCTGGGGAAATAGGCGCAATTACCAGTGAGTCATCTGACAAAGAATCACTAGAGCTCTCACATACTGCATCTTCAGAACTGGCAGAGTTTTCCAGAGCATCCTTTTTAATGTGCACATGTTGAATCTCCATTTTGACACCTAGAGAGCAAAAACTGTTGCTTTCATGTTGTGGGGTGTCTCCTTCCCAATCCACATCATTGGACAGGACTTTCGTGTACTGGAGTTCCCAGTGCTTGTGGCTGTACTCCAAAATACTTAATGCCACTTTCTCATCGACACTTGTTCCATGTTCCTTACAATACCTGTACAGGAGAAAGTCGTCTCCAAACATCTGTTTGAAAAGATCATTGATCATCATAATCCAGCTTTTTGTGTCCTCTGACCATGATCTAATATCAATGCTTTTCCATTCACATCCACAGTAGGTGAACTTTTTCTTCCCTGTGAGTTTAAAATAGGTGATATTCATTGAAAATGTTTGATACATTATGAGCTGACCTGATCACCCAACAAAATACTTGATTTACAATAATTTTAAATATGTAATTACACATAAATCCTTACATATTATTGTCGACTAGTTGCTAATTTAACACATATTTTCTCTTGATCGTCAGGATTTGTTTTGTACCACTAAAATACACTGGAGTCACCCAACATGAGTCACACAACTTGATGTTCATTTGGGACTGAAATTTCAACAGTATATTTCAACAACACATGCCCTTCATGTTTGCAAAAATTTCCAAAAAAAACTTTGTTTGCATCTTTCTGGTAAGCAAACCTTAGTCATGCATCATATGTACGTTGTACTTTAAACATGCATGAAATTGATTTAAAATGATTTGAAGCTAGTTTGATATTTTCCCTTGTTCCAGATTTTATTTCTAGATTGATTTCATCCATCCGAAAAATACAAACTAGTTTGAGATCATGTTGACCAGAAATGCATTTTAAACGGGTGTCTGGAAAACTCAAATAGCGAATAGCAAATAGTGACGAATAGCAAATAGCAAATAGTAACGAATAGTCCTAAAAAATACATTTGCTTGCATCTAAGCCTGAACATGTGATAAAAAGTTCAAATTGGCTATGAAACATTACTTGTTTGTGAAATTTTTAAAGTCTGAAACAATGTCCGGGAATGGAAGTGTAGTGACGATACCAAATTTTTT